GTAAGTTCATAAAATAGAATGTTAACCGTCACTTAGTTTTGGAAATTGACGAAGATCCGACCGTTGGATGGTAATGAAATTTTAGGATGTTGTCCTAGAGGTATATTGTGGACCTCTGGAAGTTACGGATTTGAAATCTGAATTGCAGATCATCCGGATCGAACTACGTAGTGACGTGTCTTATATAAGTTATGTATTCTATCGGCAGAATTTCTGAGGTTGGATTTGATTGTTGTTCTAGGCGCTAATCGTCATGACGCCTTTGATGTACGGTGCTAGGGAGTTGTGGGCGAACTCCAGGTGAGTGGGCAGTTTTGTTTTCGTATTACCTATATACTATTGTTTTTCCCAGAAAAAATGCTTTTATGCGAAATTATGTTTTGAAAATGCCATGCATAGAATTATTTGGAAAATGTGAATTTCATATGAGTTATATGATTGATATATGATGCATATATGTTGCATGGTGCTGTGGAGGCACAGGTAAGTCAGGTGAGTTCGTTTATTCATTGAATTGTTGTTGTTGAGATGTTTGAGCTCATAATCTGCACCCTAGGTGTTAGTGCTTATATTATTCACCACACCGCACGCTCGCCTTGGATCCAAGTAGGTGGATGTCGTACAGACCATGTGAGGGTTCCGACATGCCAGTCGTACAGACCATTAGAGGGGTTCCGACTGGTGGGTGACCTTAGATATGCGCGCTGATGATATGATGAGAGAAGCACTAGAGCGTATTTTACACCTTTCATCGTATAGACTACCTTACGTAGTTCCGAGTGATGTGCAGAGTAGGGCCGTATAGGTCACTGTGGTGACTCCGGCTTAGTGAGATATTGAGCTATTGAATTAATCGTATAGGACCAACTGCAGGGTCTCCGATTGATTCCTTATTTCACCTGATTTATATTTTGATTTATGGCATGGCATGTTTTTCTCGAAAAATGTTAAAGATTTGGGATTCAAGCTTTGAGATTTCATATGGTTATATATATATATATTTCTGAAAAGTGTTAAAGGTTTGAGATTTGAGATTTTTGCTTATATATATATGTTTATATATATGCTATTTTCTGGGAAAGTATACAGGTTTTACGGTGAGGGGTTATAAATGTTTTAAATGAAAAGTCTTCGAAAAACTTTGTTTTACTGACCCACTCAATTTTGTTTTGCGCCCCTCTAGGTTCAAGTTAGCAGAGCTTTGGTGGCCACGAGGAATCCAACGGTGTTCTGACAGAATTCACAAAAGTAGGACTCACCCTCGGGTGTGTTATCTTAGTAATTGGAATTTTTTTTTAAAGCTTCCGAACTGTGTAAATGGTTACGTCACTCTCACGTGACGGCCAGCACGCCCTCCTTCGGGACGGGGTGTGTCAGCAACAATAAGATTGATATAGTAACCAACCAAAACTGAAATTAAAGTAAATTAAAACCCATTTAGTGGTTTGCAAATAACCAATCCAATAGTTGTAATTATTGTGGAATAAAAATATTTTAATTTGCAAAACATATTTCCTACAATCCCCCACATGTATTGCAAATTAAAAGCAAACCAAAGATAGACAAATACAAGAAACGGCTATCTACTATTAATATGGTTGTTGAAAGTAACGCACATTAGTAGTGATGGATAAGTAAAATGATTTGTATTTTGAAATACCTTAAAAAGTCCAACAAATCTTGAAGTTAGAAGAGACCGAACCCCATCACATACATCCTCACCAACAATCATCCAATGCTTTTGGTAAGATCCGGAAGACATACCATCGAGACCAGGAGCCTTGGTAGGATGCATTTGAAACAGGGCCGATTAAATCTCCTCATTCAAAAATGGTGCAAGGAGTTCCCTGTTCATATTTGGCGTTACTTTAGGATCCACCAAGTCAAGTACCACAGATGCCCCCTCATGCCCCTGGGAGTGAAAAAGTTTGGTGAAAATAAGAGACAATAATGGATTCCTGCCTCTCTAGTCCTCATGCCAAACGCCTTCATCATCAAATAAACCACGTAGCCCATTTTTCCTTTGTCTTCTACTAGCTTTTTGATGAAAAATACGAGCATTATGGTCCATCAAATGTCATCTTTTTCACTCACTTTATAACAAAATATGAATTACGAAACAATATAATGTGAGTGAAAAAAAACTAGTGAGCGGACGCAGTAGCACTATCTACCTCGGACACGTCTGAAAACATTTTCTGGTTAAGGACACAGTTTTACTGGCAGCCAACGAACTGGAGTCAATGTAGGTAGTCTTTTTGAAACATAATAAGAATGCTATGGCCGGCCATTGGTCGAGAGGTGATGAAGTTTCAGAGCAGACCACTCATAAAAGTGTCAAATGTTCTTTGCTTCCCTCCCTTCATCATTACACGGATGATCATTTCTTTTGACCTTCAGCTGCTGCTGCTGCTATTTTCCAACACTTCAGAAGGTTCTTGAGCAGATCCATTTGGTCGTCATTGGATTCTACACTTGCAAATAATTTTCACCTTTTTATTGACATTGTGGATGGCCCTTGCTTTTAGCCTCTTTTCTAAAGCTCTCAACTAAGTTGTTGAATTATTTTTCTCATTGGTGGGAGTGGGAGATCACACCACTCGTGTCTGCGTAGCCTTTTCAGTTACCTATTCAACTACAATTTCATTTGGACTCATGTGGCTACCAGTATAATTATTTTGCGTCTATTGTTTATTGTGACATATCATTACTAGTGGCGATTGTGTGCTTGAGCTTGTGGTAATTATTTAGGTGTTTATTCTTATTTGTTTAATTGTGCAAAGTCACTCTAGATTAATTTATTGGTCTCTAAAGTAATGTACCCATTGTATTTAGTTGTGATGATTGATGAAACACCACTCTGTTATTTCTTGTAAAAAAAAAAAATTAAACTTGATAATGATCCAACTTAATTAGCATCATTTATGATTAAATTAAAGGATTTCTTTTTTACTGATAAGGATGTCATCGACCTTCCAAGCTCCAAAACAATGGGGATCAAGGTATCGAATGATAGGGGGCTATTGTAATAGAAATAGTGCGCATTTGTTTTTGGTTTTATTGAAGTTTAGCATTTTTTGTTTTGTTTTGTTTTAGTAGTGTGAATGTAGTGCCCATGTCGACATTTATTGAGTGATGAGAGTAACCCTACTAAGTCCTCTCGAGACCCATGTTGATTGATGTTGCTTCCTACCGAGTGCTATCCAAATATGCAGAACAAATATATCAAAATTTAGTGGGCACAAAAAGGTCCCATGTCAGACATCCGAAGAGTCTTTGAAAGGACATATGCGAGCTCTTGAGATGTGATTCGAGAAACATTTGAAAGTCATAAATAAAAGTCAAGTAAATGAAGGCATCTTGGTGATGGTATTTGAACAAACAATGGAAAAATACGAAGTCACGAAGGGAAAGGACCATCTAAAGTTGTGAAAAAGGAAATGTTTTTGTCAAAGTATGAAATATGTTTCATATGATCCAAGGTTTGCGTTTGGTTAGGAAGCAGAAAAATGTGTAGAGTCCACCTAATAAAGCATAAGAAAATGACTGGCATTGAAAATTGGCAAAAATGCATATATAAAGCCAAATGAGTGATTAGACTAAAGAAAGAGTAAAGGAGGAGGAGAAGCTTTTTCTTTACGCATTTCATATCCCCCATTCAATTTAACGCAATTCCTTCAGTCAACTACCATTCATTCAACTACTCATCTCCCTCTTCATTAGATGCCTGCCAGGAAATGCATAAAGACAATCTCTTGTCAAAATATGTAGTTTTAACACCCAAAAGTTTCAAACTTAGGATCAATTGTGAATTTAAATGCATAAAGACAATCTCTTCATCAGATTTGCTCGTTCTCCTCTTCTCAGAGCCTTCGGCATCAAAGAGTGAATTTAACGAAATACAAAAGTTTAACAAATTATAAAGTTGGGAGTGAAATAGGTCCCTCTCCGTTGGTGGAAAAAAGCATACGTATAGATGAATAGTTGAAAATACATAGCTCAATTATGGGATTTTAGACCTTTGAATTGGAGATAGCCTAATAGACCAATAATACTTGGGTAATCTAATGAGATTTATTATATATCACAACAATCATTTAAGAATTATTTTTAATACATTGAGATATGAGATATGGGGCATCTAATTCAGTACATACCACCAAGCAACAATAGTAGCAAATGAACTTTTTGAAATAAGAAAAAAAAATTAATTTTTTTTTAAGTAGGACATTTTTTTTGTTTTGGTAAATGAATTATCATATTAAGAGAGGAGGTTAATTCTTAGTCCACAATTGTACTTCCAGGATCACATGGACATGGAAACCATTCTTCAGCACTAAAAAACTCTCCTTACTTAAAACGACCTATACAATATATGTACATTGCAGTGTCTTGCTTCGTGTTTATAAAATAAAAATGTGGGAGATTTTATTTATATATCCTAGGTATATTGACATAAAACTCTTCCTGGTGGTGTAATCAGTGGCGGATCCAGATTATAACCTTGGGGGTCATAGTGCTAAAAGTACAAGTTTTTTGGATAGAAACAAAGCGTAAAGTGTCAAAAAAAATTCAATTGATTCACTAAGACATCTCGTCAAACATTTGGTGGGTTTTTTGTCGTGAGCCAAACAATATGGTGCACATGTCAACAACTATCGACATATACTGAAATAATATGATAAATAATTCGAGAGAATTTGTTAAATATTGTCAACGCAACTTATTGAGATATGCTTAATATTACAATAAATACTTTATAAACACAAAAATGAACCGTACCAACATTTGTATGGTCATCGAAGAGCTTTACATGTATATTTTTCAAACTCTAATTGATCGGGAGACCATTTTGGTTTCAATATACATTTGTCTCTGGTGTACCCCTGTTTATGCTAAAAAAAAAAAAAAAAAAATTCACATCACGGGTCAAAATCAGACAAAATCTCTCACGCCGCCAATAGTATTTCACAAATTCAGTGACCAAAAAACAAAAATGAAAAACCCAAAATCCCAACAAAAAAATAAAACAAAAAATATTCATATAATAGAAACCCTCTCTCTCTAGCCTGTCCGTCTATGGTCTATAAACGCTACTACACCTTTTCCGATGACCTCCGGGCACTGTAATTACTGAAACCCAAGCTCCCACGCTGCTCTGACCCGGCCACATGTCCGAAAACGACGTCGTGAAGCGGACGTTCCGGGCGCTGGTGGAGGGCGCCGACCGGAAGTTCGCTAGGGTTCGCGATGTGCCGGCGTACGGACGCCTCCCCAACCAGCACTACTTCCACAAGGTCTTCAAGGCCTACATGCGCCTCTGGAAGTACCAGCAGGAGAACCGCTCCAAGCTCGTCGGCGCCGGTCTGAACCGCTGGGAAATCGGCGAGATCGCCAGCCGGATCGGCCAGCTCTACTTCGGCCAGTATATGCGGACCAGCGAGGCCCGATTCCTCATCGAGGCCTACGTCTTCTACGAGGCCATTCTCAGCCGCAACTACTTCGACGGCTCCGCCGGCTCCAGAGGTTTTGGGAAGAAGGATATCGGAGTCCGGTTCAAGGAGCTGAGGTTCTACGCTCGGTTTTTGCTCGTTTCGTTGATTTTGAACCGGACCGAGACAGTTCAGCTTCTTGCTGAGCGGTTCAAATCGCTTGTTGACAACTGCAAAGCCAATTTTCGGGTAATTTCTCGTTATTTTTTGCGCATTAGGATTTGTTTGGTTTCTAAGAAAGTGAGAAGTGAGAACCAATGAATCATACAAGTTCTAGGAGATTTTGACTGAGTCCTTTCTATTCTAGGAGAGACAGAGCACTAACAAGTCCAAGATAAAATCTTTCTCAAATTTATGGACAAATTTTTATGGTGGTTGCTGTGATTGGATCAATTGTGTGATTTGTTAGTGCGTTCTGAAATTTGATTTACATTTTTGATATATGCAATCTGGGGTCTTCGGTTTTCAAGCGAAGACTCATTTCTACATTTTTGTTAATTGTCATTTTATAAAGTGAAAAGGACTTGTCACATAAACTAGATCCGAGTGTGTCGAGTGTTGCCATGCTGTTATGAGAAATGGCTGAAGAGGAGATGTGAATTCCTCATTAATGAAAGTGGTACCGCCAGCTGAGTAAGTCACCAGCTCAGGTGCGTCTGAAATCCACATCATGTTGAGGGGCGAGGCAAAGGAGAACATATAGAAAACTCAGTCTTGAATCGAAACTCTCTTTGTGATATACTAATGTGCTGGTTCTTTTTGGTGCTTTTGAACAATTATTAGCTGATAAATAAATCTGATTAACAATTTAGTCTCTCTCTCTCTCTCTCTCTCTCTCTCTCTCTGCAAGCACATCAGGTAGCTAAGCTCAGATTGAGTACAAATTGTCTAGCTTTAAAGTTTTAAGTTGACAGTTGAGACTAAAATTAGCATCTCATACATACAAAGGATGATAATTGGGGGGAAAGATCAAAGTGAAAGTACCAGGGACAAACCCTGAATGATATCGAATGATATATACACAGTATGGTGGGCTTGCCTCGAAATAGTGATATGTGATTTCTGGATATGTAATCTCAACTACTGGTGCACCAGTCCTATAGATCACAATTAATTTTAAGCTATGCATTGAGATACAAGTTGGCACATTGAGATACAAGTTGGCAAAGTGACTGACAGAAGCAGTTGGATTAGGGTGGAATCAGTGGAATTTATGCTGATACACAGAAACTGGTTAGTTTTAGGTGTGGCCGATCTTTTGAGGTCCAACACCTGTCTCCGGAGTTACTAAGTAGTTAGACGAAGGAATTTGAAGTTGCATTGCAAGTCACCAAAGCCCATTTGTTTTTTCTGCTTGGACTCTTTGAAAAGATTCATGAATGAAGCAACTGAAAACTACATCCCAAAGTTAAATCAAATTTTTACCGAAGGAATATGTATGCATACTAATGTCACAATTCAAACAGTTAATATATGTGCAAACTTTTATTTATGCCTCAGTTCAAACTTCAAATAGTTAATTTGTAGTAGTATTCCTCGATTAATTTCTTGCAAAGTTCTTTCCTGGGTTTACTTGCATGATTTTGGACATTTGAGCTATCTCTTCTCAGGACACTAATTTTAAAGAATGGAGGCTAGTGGTGCAAGAAATTGCTCGATTTATGAAAGTTGATACGGCCTTTATGAATGTCAGGCCATTGCGATACTCCACCTTGTTTGATTCACATCCAGCATCTCTTCAATATGTTACTCGTTTCCATGCAAAGAGAGTTTTAAAATTTCAAGATGCATTGTTGACAAGCTATCACCATAATGAGGTAAAAATAAATAACTGTTCACATCTTTAATCATTGATTTTAATTCATTCAAGAATCGATAGTAATATACAGCCATCACAATGGAAAAGGTATGTGAATCATGCATTGTGACTTGCAGGTCAAATTTGCTGAACTTACATTGGACACTTTCCGAATGCTGCAATGTTTGGAATGGGAGCCAAGTGGGTCTTTCTACCAAAAGCGCCCAGTTGAACCAAAGGAGAATGGCGTTTTTATTGAACACTCTGGGGCTTCTGCAGCATCTGGTGTAATTGATTTGAACTTGGCTGCGGACATGACTGATCCAAGTTTACCACCAAATCCCAGGAAAGCTGTTATCTATCGTCCATCTGTGACACATTTGATAGCGGTAAGTGTTAAAGCCATGTGTATCATATTTGTTATTTGAGGGCTCTGTCTCTGGAACTGTAGGGATCTGCTTAGAGCCTTGAAACTCATGTTCTGTGATGCTTGAAATATGCAACATTCAAAATGATAGAAAACTGACAAGGGAAATGGAAAAACCCAAAATATAGGACACAAGAATTAAAACATTAAATAATTTACAAAATGTATGGCTCATCCAAGGAATATTCATGAAATTTTGATCAAAGTCCCACTTCTATTTTGGTTTGAATAGTTCAAATAATTTAAGAAGAGTAAATGAAACAGAAATCTTGAAAAACTAGTTATATATAGTTTTAGCCTTTGCTTTGTTAAAGAAACACTGGAGTGTGAGCCTTCATGTCTTACTAGCCCCTACTACGTTAGTTGATAATCTGAAATGCCAATGAATCCCCTAGCCCCTTGGTGTCCATTTCCTTGCTATAATGAGAGTTTTGGTCGACGAAAACATCAAAAAGTATATTTTTTAGCTGAAAAGAAAAGAGAAAGAATCTTTTTATTATTTAATTTTTTGTACTACAGAGTGAACCCCAGTCTTCACATTTTTTTTTTTTTTTGAAATTGGCCCATTATGTTTGAAGCTTTGTCGTAGATGTGTCCAACCCCTTTCTTTTTTCAGGCCAAATATAGGCATACAGCCCCTTTATTTGCATGTTTGGTCGCACAGTGTCCTGTCATATTTGTATGTAGCTTAGTGATTTTAATCAGCTTTATCATGCTGTGTTCTTTATGTTTTTGTTTGTAAAATGGCATCGCCAGTTGCACTGTTCGTTCATGTACCTGCAATAGATAATGGGGTAAAAATGTCTTAATGCAATTATGTAGTGTGGGACCATCAAATATTGGTTGCTTTTTAGCCAGTGTGAAATAAAATTTTCAATCTATCATATACATACACATGTTCTTTTTATTTAATCTTAGTTGCCAATGCTGAGTTTCTAATGATGCATCGGCAGGTGATGGCTACAATTTGTGAGGAACTCCCTCTGGACAGTATTATGCTAGTGTATCTGTCAGCCTCAGGTTAAATTTGGTTTCGTCGGATAAATATCAACTCATCAATCGTCATGTTTTTTCATCCCAGATTAGTGAACTTGATGATCTGTTGCGCAGGGAAGGTTGATCACAGTAATACTAGTCAGGTGTACAACTCTGGGGGATCACAGAAGTCCTTAAAAAACAAAGTTCCTCTCCAAGATCAGAACAAGTTTCAGCCTGAATCACGTATAAATAACAAGGGAGAGTCAAGTGGCTATTATGATCAATATCTATGGTTTGGCCCTAGAGGAAATGGTGGTAGGTTCCTGTAATGCATCGATGTGCTGCCTTGTTTTATTTTGGCCAATTTGGTGAACAGTATTCTGTTAAGTCATTTATTTTATTTGTTGGCTTCCCTGTGTTATTGGTTCTTGCCTTTATGTTTTCTTTGATTTTCAGGTTTGAATAACCTTTACCCCGGTGATATAATTCCTTTTACTCGTAGACCACTTTTCTTGGTAATAGATAGCGACAACAGCCATGCATTCAAGGCAGGTTTGTCAAAACTTGTGCATAAATTCTGTGGTTGCATGTTTTTACAGTGGAGTGTAGTTTCCAAATCAGATTTTCTTCCTTTACCCCCCCCCAAAAAAAAAGGCATTTTATGGTTATTGTTTTAATTTCATTTTATGGGGTATCTTTTGTCTTGGAGTAAGTTTTGACATGTTGAGAGTAACTTATCAAGTTTCTGGAACCAGTAATGTTTTACCTGGTATTTGTTATTGGAAGCACGTACATCCCTAACAACCTTGAAGCTTTTCTGGCTCAAATATGTTTTGGCATCTAAATTCAAAGGAGTGCCAATGCCTAGTGAATCTTCTAAACGTTGCACTTGTGGAAAATACTTCTGTAATTCTTGACCCCTCCCATTCCCTCCCCAGATGCCATCTTCTGTTCCTGGTTCTTGGCCATTTGGATGGGATTGGAGAAGTTTTCTCCATCTTATGGTCTTTTTTCATTGCCTGATGTTTGAGACAGTGGAAAGAGTCGATCTGCATCTTAGTGGTGTTGGTTAGTGAAAATACTTACATTCTGCTGATGAATGATTTCAGGTTTTACATGGAGCGGAAAGAGGAGAGACGGCTGCTCTGCTTCTTTCACCTATGAGACCAGCATTCAAGAATTCAGCTGATGCTGATTTAACGCAAAATGGAAGTCAGTTTACCTTTTTCTTGACTGCTCCCCTGGCAGCTTTCAGCCAATTAGTTGGCTTCTCCTCTTCTGATACTGAAGCAGTAAGTTAATTCCAAGGACTGCTGTACGTCCTGGCTATACATTTTATTTAGTTGTTCCAATTAATTTATTCTGCTTTCAGGAGGTTTATAGCAATGCTGAAAGCCTACTCTCTGCTGCCTTCTCTGAGTGGGAAGTTATTCTTTGTACAACGACAAGCCTGGATCTGGTATGGGCACAAGTTATATCCGATCCTTTTTTGCGGCGACTTATTCTGAGGTACACATCTTCCCCACCCTGCCAAGGAATATAAGGCAACAAATATCTGGTTCTCGTAATTTGTTATGCCTAGTGTTATTGCGATCTTACTTGTTTTCATGACTTGGTCCTGATTGGGGTGTGCATTTGCCTTTATAATAGGAAACACGATAATAGCAATTGTCTTTGGTTCTTTTAATTTGTTGGTTAAAGGTTAAAAATAGCGGAAATGCTTACACGATGATCCTACTTCCAGATTTATATTCTGCAGAGCAGTGCTTTATTTCTTCTGTCCTCCTGAAGACAGCGAGCAGCATTTGCCGGTTTGCCTTCCTCTTCTCCCCAATTCAGTTTCTGCAGATTCTGAAGTTGTGCGGTCTGCTGTCCAGAGGCTTGCGAAGCACCTCAGCGTCTCCGACTTATTTCACCTTGTTGAGACATGATTAGTGAATGAGATATCAAAGCTGGATTGTTAGTATAGCAGCATTCTGGGGTTAAGTCTCGTGGATCCGGTGTGTCACCATGCGACCGCAGCACAGATGAATCAATTGGCGTACTCGGGTCGGAGGTTGAGAAGATAAAAATGGGTTGATGGGCTTGAAATATAGAGAGAATGTTGGGAGGCCTTTGTGTCTTGATGTGTAATGGTGGAGTTATTGTGTTTAGGTTGGTGCCTGATCCTTGGAATTACATATAGTTGCGTATACCTTTGTAAAAGAAAATGAAATGAGCTAGTGATACAAAATTTAAATTAGTTTTAACCATTCGTGACTTCGATTTTACGTTCTCGTTCAAGCTTCTGAATAGGCCAGTGGATCTCAGATAAATTTTTCAACTCCACTTTGTGATTCTTCGAGTTTTTGGCTTCTATTTTGTACTTTGTATTTTGTTTAAACACCTTCATTGTCATTAATTTATTTATTCAGTGTATTAATAATACCGTAGTTGACACAACTTTGTTGGCTGTACAGTGTACTAGTGGATTTAGGACTCATTTGGAAGTGTTTTTGAAATGATTGAAACTCTTTTTGGGTTCAAAAAACACTTGAAGTATTTTCTGCAACAAACATCAGTTATGTGCTTCTTGTAGTATTTCAAGTGCTTTTTCTAAGATCCACTTACATTTTTACTATAGATTGGTTCTCAAAGCACTTCTAATCATTTTAAAGTTACTTCCACACGAGCCCTCGGTCAATTTTGCACTGCCGCTTCCATTAGGAAAATCGTTGTTAGATCTTCAACACAGGGAAATGATTTTTTTTTTTTAATGCATAGGATATTGTTAATTTTACAGGTAGAGAGTGCGATAACTCTCATAATGAGCCAGTTCTCACAATAGATTAGCGATAATAATTTGGTTTGAATCAAGTTTTAATGAGAATTGAACTTAATACCTCTCACTTACATATGAAAATAAATACTACTAAAAATGTAATACAAAATGGCAGAGCCGGCTTTTGGAGTGCGACCAGTTCTATTCCACAAGGCCCCAAAATTTTGGGGGCCCCAAAAATATTTTTTTATTGAATATAATAATATATAAAATAATATATAGAAATAGTATCAAATCAAAAAATATATATATAAAAATCTGATGGACCCAAACAGCCATCAGACTACTATCTAAAATCTTTACGAAATTATATAAAATAATAATTAACAAAGGGTGAAGCTAATCTGGCAAAAATAAAAAAGGGCAAAGCTAATCAATTAAAAGTGGAGAACTCTATGGACCAAGCAAACAATTCAGAGACTCAGACTTCTTGTCTTACGCCAAAGTCTAATCGCTGCTTCCCTTTTTTTTTATTCTTTCACACCAGACTACCAGAGCACCAAAAGTCAGAATTCTAGACGATGTTGTGTCCCAGTCTACTTCCCATTCTCTCTTCGTCCCATTGTTATATTTCCCACAAATTATTAAACCCTAATTTATAAATTTATGAAATTGAAGAGAAACTTCCAAATCATGAAGATAATTTAACTGATCAGAGTGATGTAGACTTCAATCAAAGTAAGATATTTACTAATTTAAGTATATTGACTTGAAATTTGAAGATTTGGATATTTCTCATCTATAATGATTTTTTTTCTTTTGTAATTTTCAGGGCAAAATCAAGAGAAGAGCAGTTACAAAAAATCGCTAGACACACACACATTATGGACTATCAGGTTTCATTGTTCATACTTACTATAATTTTATTGTAATCTTATTTGAGATATAAAAGATGGCACATGCTATAAAATATTCATTTGGCTACTTGAAGCGTCAAAGAAAAAGAAAAGTTGAACAATTGACCCAATCTCAAAAAGGAGCTATTGATAGGTTCTTTCTGAAAGAAAAAGAACCACAAAGTTCAATGGATGATTTAATTACGGAACAACATGATGACAATGAGAAATTAGTTGATGATTTGGGCAATGATGAAATTGATGACGACCTTGATGAGAATGATAATCATGAGGATGCTCCTATTGTCACTGATCAACCGAGTGAGTCAATTCCCTCAAACATTTATGATCCTCAAATTTGGGATAGTCTTGATCCCAAATGGATTGATTTGTTGGCAGAAAAAGGTCCTGCAAGAGATCTATCAATTGAGAAAGGTCCTAAAGATTAGTTTAATAGGCGTTTTAATGCAGTATTTTACACTCGATACTTATCTAATGGAGAGAAACATGATAGAGATTGGCTAGTCTATTCAAAAGATGTTGATAAAGTGTTCTGCTTTTGTTGTAAATTGTTCAAGAAATGGTTTCTCAAAGGTCAATTAGCAAATGAGGGCTACAAAAATTGGACACATTTCAATGTGAGGCTTTAAGAGCATGAAAACAATTTTGATCACATCTCGAACATGACTACTTGGATTGATTTGCGTCTTAGATTGCAAAAAAAAAAAAACGAAACAATTGACCAAGTTGTGCAAGACTAGATCAAGAAAGAAAAAAAGCATTGGAGGGAGTTACTACGAATGTTGATTTCCATTGTGAAATATTTAGTAAACACACACTACTTTTTGTGGAAATAATGATGTGCTTTATCAAGAAAGTAATGGAAATTTTATGGGCCTAGTTCAAATGATGGTTGAATCTGATCCATTGATAAAGAATCACCTTCAATGCTTCCAAAATAATGAGATTCATTATCATTATCTTAGTCATACCATTAAGAATGAGTTGATATTGTTGGTATCTTGTGAAATCAAAGCTACAATCATTCAAAAAGTCAAAGAAGCTAAATATTTTACCATGATACTTGATTGTACTCCTGATTTTAGCCACCAAGAACAAATGACCTTGATTATAAGATGCTTGGATATGAACAATACTCTAGTAAAAGTAGAAGAATATTTTTTGCAATATCTGATTGTAAATAACACATCAGGAGAATGACTGTTTGAAGAGTTGTAGAATGTATTAAAAGTTCTTGATCTTAATATTCATGATGTGAGAGGGTAAGGTTTATGGTAATAGATCAAATATGAGAGGGAGACACCAAGGTGTACAAAAGAGGCTTTTGGATATAAATCCTAGGGAAATGTACACTCCATGTGGTTGCCATAATCTTAACTTAACACTTTGTGATATTGCAAACTATTGTGGCAAAGCGAAATACTTCTTTGGAATAGTACAACGTATTTACAGCTTGTTCGCAAATTGTACAAAATGATGGCTAATTTTGAAAGAAAATATAAAAGGACTGACTCTCAAATCATTGTTGGTCACACGATGGGAAAGCCGTGTTGCGAATGTTAAAGCAATTCAATCCCAACCTCTACAAATAAAAAAGCTTTACTCCAATTAGCATAAAGTGACAATGACTTAGTAACAAGAAGTGCATCTAAATCTTTAGCAACATACGACATTGGGAATTTTGAGTTTTTATTGGGCATGACTATTTGGTATGAAATATTGGCTGCAGTTAATGAGGTTAGTGAAAATTTGCAATCTAAAGACATGCTTATTGATGTTGCTATAGAAAAAGTACAAGGATTGATCACTTATTTTGAAAAGTAAAGAGAAACTGGGTGTGCGAAGGCTATAATTAATGCTAACTTGCTATTGAAATGGAAATTGATCCTGTGTTTCCAAAAAAGCGTCAAGTTCGTAGAAAAAGACATTTTGATGAGAATGAAGGTGAATCATCCCAACCAACTGGACAATCAACGGAGAAATCTTTTAGGGTTCATTACTTCTTGTATATAATAGATTAAGCTATTGGTTCACTAAAGAGAAAGTTTGAAGAATATCAAGCGTATGATGATATATTTGGATTTTTGTTCACTTTAGAACGGTTGAATTTGATAGACAATGATAAATTGAAAGATTGTTGTGATTGGCTTCAAAACTTTCTCAAGAAAGATGAGCTCTTTGATGTTGATGGGGATGTGTTGACCCTAAAAGCTACCAAGCCTACGTGGTGCGCAGACCGAGTAATCTATGAGCTAACTACGTCATTCGATTGAATGTGGGGTGTGCCAACTCGTTGACCGAGCTCGGCCGAGGAGTAAAATATGTTAATGTTGCGTTGGGTGCACGTCCGACTTCTTCATCTTGCGATTGCGACCGAGGAAGGAACACGTCTCGGCCTCTTGGATTCTCGAACCTGAAGACAAGGCTACTATTCTTACGAAGTTCACGAATCGTCGTCGTCGTTGGATTCGGTCACAATGATAGTATTCGTCAGAATAAACTCACGCCGAATAGACACCAAGGTGTAAGGGCACAAATACTCAAAGTGGATATATGTCTTACAATAAACGTGGTTCGGCCGTCGGAATGCCGAACTCTAAATCCCACTTGAGAGTATCTAATCATAAACCAACTCGGCGTGCAATGTGCCGAGCCTAATAAACTGTAACACCTCACTTCGCCGAGAAGGCTAATGAAATGACCTCGACCAATAAGGATTCGGAAATCCTTCTCAACCGAGACTTGGATAGATAACCAGTCACCCTCGACGTAGTGCTATCTATGTCGACTGAAAATGCTGCGAGACTGGATGGTCCTACGGTGACAGTGCTATCTATGCCGACTGAAGATATCACTGGTTGCTTTCACAATGCTGTTTATCCAAACTGAAGGTGTATTGGCGAAAAAAGGAAAAGGAAAAAATCTCAAGGTTGTTAAGAAAATTTGTGCAAGACAGTTGTGTGTTGAATTGGAGAGATTTGAACGATGCACAAACTCTTCTATTTAGCACCATGCACTTTCTAGACTGAGTTAAAACCCCACTCGGATTAGGATTTCTTCTTCTCATCAAACACCATCTCGACCAGTCCTATTTTCACTATGACTTTGAACCCAGTCCTTTATCAAACTGGATTCACTTCTATCCATATCTTGCCGAGACTCCTTATTGTGCCAGGATTCAATTACCCGTCTCGTAGCATGACTTGACCAACCTAGGTTAGGAAGCCCATGAACTAAACGATCCACGGTAATCTTTCCGTAAGGCCTTCCGAGCCGAGAATACATCTCGGCCCAAACCAATATTTTGGGCCCAAACATTGCCCCCTCGCTTCTGAGGACTTTTTCGGCCTGAACTTGAAAAAGCGACATCATGATCCGTCTCCCGATGAGCATTTATGAAGCACGATTGCACGATCTTGTTCTCGTCAGATATCTTGCCAAGTGTCCTATTCTCAGCATGACTTGGAATGTCCTTTCATCATTACCTCCATGATTCGCGAGATTTTTAAATTCCTCAAGACGTGCAGATGTCCAAACTTCTTCAAATCAATATACCTGTCGCCGCATGCCATCATGCAATCTTGATTTACGAATCTTTCGGTACCCTTGAGATCGTGCGGACACCAAAACGTCATTTCTTCATAAAAGACACCGTCACGAAATCATCATTTCCCCTTAATCTGTGAGTTTGTTGGTTTTTTCTCCTGAGTCTGTTAATATTCTCCATCACTCCATCATTATTAGCGATCTTCCCGATCACTCTC